AGAGAGAGAGAGAGAGAGAGAGAGAGAGAGAGAGAGAGAGAGAGAGAGAGAGAGAGATTTGTGACCTTGGGATTTGACGACATTTGGATTCAGACTCGACATTGGGACAGAGACATAGGGTGGGGACTATTTGGGATCGATATTGACGACATTGTGTTGACGACATTCTCATCCCCTCCCTCCTCGTCTGATCCCCCCCCCTCCTCCTCATCCATGTATGATCTGAGCCTGGCGCATTCTTCCTGTGTGTGGCGCCAGGCCCCTTCACACCTTGTGATGATGATGATGTATGTTCGGTCTGCATTGCAACATTGATTGGTCTGATTGTTGGTATTTCAGTCTTCCGCTGTGCTATCTTGCTCTATCTGAGAGAGGTCGGTTCTTGGTTGTGGTCTGCACCATATCGGTATGCGACAACCGTGGTGGTGTTCTTGCGGACCAAATGTGCGTATCGATCCCATCTCCTCCAAAAACCAGATTCCCCCCCACGTGACTTTCTTCGAGCCTTCTACAGGTCTGTCATGATGGCTGTACACAGGCTCCCAAGTGGCCTATTTCTCAGGACCTGCACGGTGTACGACTGGTTCTGGAAGATGCGTTCATTTCTCATTGCTAATGTTAATGTTCTTGTAAAAGTCGTTGTCAATGTCGAAGTAGTTCATCTACTGCTTGTCTATAACCTCATCAACAAAAGTCAGTGTCAATGTTGCAAGAGTTGAGAAAGTCGCTGTTAATGTGAAAATAGGTGTAAGGTGCACCACTGACCCACAACCTCATCAACGACATTCATCGTTAATATAGAAACACTTTGTGTACCATATATCCACAACGTCATAAACAGAACTTGTTGTTGCAGGAGTTGAGAAAGCCGCTGTTAATAGAATAGTTGTAAAGTATGGACGAAGCACAGAAATTCAGAATGCAAAAATCACACTGAAGTCCAAGTAGTCAAAGCCAAAGCAGATAGCACATGGAACCGAGTAACCATCCAATTGAGAATGATACAGAAGAATCGTGAGTCAATGTCCATGCCCAACAGGGCAACACCAACAGCATAACCCAAATGTAGCTCTCTCTTGWGAATGGCGCCAGGCGCCCTATCTACTCTACCGCCTATCCTACAACTACAGCAATGAAAAGCAACCAGACAACTTGACTACCAGCGAGTGATGATGTCAACACCAATGCCGACCTCCACCTTCACCAGGTACGTGTCCTCTTCCCCACACTCTCCCTTGTTACCCACMCAGCGCCCTTCACCTCCGAAGACCACCTTCGCCCTTCACCTCTCTGCACCCTCATGCGGCCTGGCTATCGCCGCCAGTCCCTTGCATGCAGGCAGCGCCCTACCGCCTAGCGCTGGCCTGCTTCACCTTAGCGCAGCACTGCTTCACCTTAGCGCAGCACACATGCATCCGCGCAGTGTGCCCGCAATGCCAGCATTGTCCAAGATCCCCGCTCCCTCGCCCTGCTTGCCTATATGCCAATGCAGCGTGTGGGCGGCCTCCCTTCAGCCTGTGACCGGGACCCAGAGGCTGAAGCCAACTCGATACAGTTGGGCCCCGGGGCAATGCAGTTGCGCCTCTTTCATCAAGGCCTGTGGCCAGATTCAGATAGTGAGCCGATTTCCCTTTGGCATTTTCGGCCTCTCTACCCAGCATGCATTGTCGGCCTCACGTTCGAGTGCCCAGGGCCTAACTAACTCAGAGGCCCTGGGCTTTCAGCATTTGCTGAAATCCGAGACTCGGTGCACTCCAACCAACTGGCGTGCTGCAACTGTATGAACCCCACTTCGTGAAATGTTGGCACAGAGGGCTCTTGTTGATTGGCTGGCCCGCCTTCACTTAGGGCGGGCACGAGGCTTGCTGGGGCCTTAGCCCAGAACATGTACATCATGGCAAGGCCCCTACTTGAGGGCTCAATCCTCACATGTTGTTCTTAATGTCAAAAAGTAGTGGTGTACCATTTATGCACAAACTCATTCACACATGTGGTTGATGATGTCGAAACATTTGGTATACCACTTACCCACAACCTCATGAACGACAATCATCATTAATATAGAAACAATTTATATACCATGTATCCACAACGTCATAAACAAATTTACTCTTGCAGGAGTTTAGAAAGTCCTTCGGGATCGGAATTGTGCACAGTCTGTACCGAAGGTGTGGCAAAGGATATAGTACACTGTCTGATACGCTGCAAAGAGGCGACTGAATACTGGGCCAGAGCTTCCTCACTTTGGAATTCCTTCTTTTCATCCCCATTCCCTGACCATCCCATCCCACTACTCCTCCTGACTAACATCCCCCGTCTTTTCATCCCCATTCCCTGACCATCCCATCCCACTACTCCTCCTGACTAACATCCCCCGAATGACACCAAAGGCAGAGAGGACTTGGTTCGAACTCATCAGGAAAGTGACACTATGGATCATCTGGAAGGAGAGATRCAGCAGAACAATTGAAGGACAATCCAACCYAAGGGACAAGGTATGGACAGAAACCAGAACTATGATTCAAGCAGAGATTCATTGCAGATGGCGGAAAGTCAGACAAGCCTGGACAGATGACGAAGAACAGAGGAAGAAGGAAAGAGTGCTCTTCCAAAGGAACTGGTTGATTGATGGCAAGATAGCCGAGCTACGAGAAGACCGCATTCACTGGAAGGAGTGGCACAATTCACCCCSGGGAAAGAGTTATCATCAACAGACAACGTTAGATAGCACAAATACATCTTGAGACTCAACGGAAGAGGGCAACCCTACAAACTCAGAGGACAGGGACGCAAGAAAGACGAAAAGATGGAAAAAGAGTACGAGAAAGAGGAGGACAGAATATAGCCAAGGACAGGCTCTCAAACATGCTACGAGAGTTGGTTCAGTGGATATTGACACAGGAACAGGAAAAGCAACAAGGTACGGACTGCATTAGCATATTGGGGGTTACAGAGGARGTGCCAACAGTGAAGACATCCCAACAAGTGATCTCACTCTTCATTCCTCACCTTCATCCAGGGGAACAAGCGCAAAAAGTCCAGCTTCAATGAAGTAAGGAGCACAGAAGCAAGTCTRACTCAGATGGGGGGAGAAAAGAGATACACTAATCAAGGTTTTCCAAAAGGGCAATGCTGTAACGGGGTTCACCATTAGAGGAAGGATGGTAAAATTGGGTCATAGGCTAGACAGTACAAGGGGTTAGACACAGGCCGTCAAGGTCAACGATTGAACTCTTTCTAGGGAACATAGAGCCATCTGACAGATCTGTTCATCAGATCTGAGAGGAAAGAGAGGATCTGGGCAAGCTGACAGTCAATCCTGCACCATGATGGAGCAATCAATGCTGATCAGGGGTCTTTCGGCCTGAACATTTGGTGTACCACTTACCCACAACCTCATGAACAGCAGTCATCATTAATATAGAAACAGTTTGTCTACCATATATCCACAACTTCATAGACAAAATTCATTCTCAAATTGTCAATACCGAAATAGTTGTGTAATGACCCGCCTTAACACAGACTGAGAACACTGCTGATTTCTGAAGTTCTGCCGATGGAATGGATGCCTTGCTGAGATTCCCGCTGAGTTTTCTCAGTCTGTATGTGTGCGTGCTTGTTGACCTGCGTGCCTGTCTGAGTGCTTGTCGGCATGAGAGTGTGTGTGACCCGCAAGGGTACTTGCTTGTTTGGCAGGCCCGTAGGGCCGGTACTTACCTGTGGCCGTGGCATTGAGGACCTGTGGCCGTGGCATTGAGGGTTGCAGCAGGGGAAAACACTCAAGTGGCGGAGCCAGAGGCCCGCGGCGCTTAGAGCAGCGGAAAAACACTCAAGTAGCAGGTAGGTCAGTACCGCACCCAGTAGCAAGAGATGTGCCGGGTACTCGAGGCCGAGCAGAAGAAGACAAAGTTGGCATTTTCAGAGGCCCAGTAGCGGTAGGCTAGGTCTAGGCCAGTACCAGTCCATCCAGTCTGAGTCTACAGCCTGTATGGGCAATATCAGAGTCTGCAATGATGTTTTCCTCCGAAAGGGAGGAGGTACCAGTTGCTTGGGAGGCTGAGCGGCCTGGAAGTCACCGCCCAGGAGGCAAGTAGGCCGCTATATCAAGAGGCCGAGGGAAGAGCCCGACCTCATTCTTCAGTGTGCAAGTTTGGCGACACGCTGTTGGAGCGCTGGCTGGAGGAGCGCTGGCTACTACAGCGCTGCTGGGAGGAAGAAGCCGGGAGCTTCCACCTTGGCTATGGTGGAGCTCTACCGGTAGGAGGAGGAGGGAGAAGAGGACTAAGGAGGAGAGTGGCGAGGTACCTACCTGGCTATAGTGGACACCATCTTCATCACCCTGTTAGGTGCTGCATCTGGAAGGCCCCCGTTGGGGTAGTGCCGCACCAAGGAAGCTCGGGGCAGAGACAGGCATGGCGGCCTAGTGAGCAGCGGCATAGCTGCTTTGCGTTGTCCTTTGCACAGGAAGGCAGCGACATAGCTGCTTTGGGTTGTCCTTTGGACAGGAGGGTGAGCCTCAGCCTACATGTGACAGGAAGGAGAAGGGTGGCCATGGCTATGGTGGACCTCATGTTGTGCCTGCAGTAGAAGTGGGATTCAAACATTGATGCTGGTTCAGCCATTCAACATTCTTACTGTTATTTCTTGTTTGAATAAGGAAGGAGGAGATAAGGAGATAAGGAGGAGGAGATTGGTTGGTGAAGAAGAAGAGCATTATCTTTGGTCTATGCTGGAGCACATCATCTTCTTCTTCTTTCTTACTTCTTCTTCTTCTTCTTTCCCTCTCTCACCTCTCAAGTTCATTCATTTCTTTCTGCAATTGGATGGCATTGTACTTTCTGATGAATGTATACTTCGAAATTGGCCAGGATCGTAACAGTTGCAAAAGTCGCTATTAATAATCGAAATAGCTACACAAGTTGCCAATGTCAAAATAGTTATACTACTTATCCACAACCTCCTCTAAAATTTGTTTTTAATGTCAAACAAAAGTCATAATTGATGTTTGAATAGTTGCGAAGGTCATTGTTGATATCCAAATAGTGGCATATGCCATCGTTAATGTTGAAATAGTTGATAATGAAATTAAAAAACTCATTGTTAACATAGATGCGAAAGTTGCTGTTCATCATGATATAATGGGAAAAGAGTCAAAAGACCGGTAGGTCGTCCACAAAAATAGAACCATCGGGAGGTAAAGTGTGTACTCTCTCTCATCTTTGATTCCCGTTAATCTATCTATCGATGGATCCTTTCTACAGAATGACGCTACGACTTCAATGACAAACAAAAGATTGGAGATCCTAAGGGATCCCCCTATCTTACAGATCTTGACATTTTGTATGTTTCAGCCTTTCAGGTAAAAAATAATTTACCTGTGCTTGACCTTGTGTGTCATAATTTTGATTTAAATTCATTTAATATCATTTTATGCTTGATCATGCTATCTCAAACTTTCGGTCTTTTCGCATCGCTTGCGCAATCTTCCGTAGGCCCAAGGTTGTTTAAAAGCTGCATGCATCTCATTTCTGTGAAACTCGTTTGCATTTCTTTTTTTTGGGGGGGGGGGGGGGGGGGGGTCCGGAGGGAATCAAAGGCAGAAACGTTCATAAAGAAATGCAGAAACTGTGCGGGTCATTGCAAAGCTGCAAATGATGCAATTTTTTCCCTCTCCTGACCTTCTCCCTCCCGAGCTTCACTCCCTGTGTACCCTGCACACACTAGTCCAGTAAAGACGTTGGAAAATGACTGCTAGAGGGGTGAATGACTTCATTTCTCTTGGAGCGATGTGCTATGAGGTTCCTCCACCAGTCCTGCATCATCGGACCTTCTCTAAGACCTTTTCCCAGCTTCAGGATGTCATCACTTATCCACAGAAAAGAGAAATGTTTCAAAATCATTTTGACATACAAACAATGTTATAACCGATTCACTTGCTTGACCCTTGTGGGCAATCTTCTCTCTCATCCACTCTCTGTTTCTCATCTGATCCTGCTTACCGCTTTCTTTGCAGCATCAATGACTTCATCGTCTGTTGCGTCTGGCCGCCCATAGGCAATGTTGTGGAAGATTGTATCATTGAACAGGACCTGTACAGACCCCACCAGAAACCTGTCACAACTTGTCAGTAATTCCTATCTCTTCCTCTCGCTCTCTCACGCACTATATCAATAACTCTGCCAGTAGAGTCCCTTGAGGGCTATGAATTGATGTGCGTCTTGTAAACCATTCACCATTTTAGAAACAGCATACCCTCCATTCCTAATTTATAAAACCTTTTTCGAGATCTCTCGTGATTTGTCACATATTCTCAGCAAGATTACCCAGATTGATGGGATTGAGCAGGAACTGCCCACGTACCAGTCCACAATACATGCACTTGCACGTACCATATGTTCGTGTGCATTCTCATGGATCATGTCAGATAGCCATTCCCAGTGAGGGCATGCTCAAGGAGGACAGAAAAGGAAGAGGGAATAAGGTGAGGGAAGGAAAGGCAAAGGAGGGCGGAAATGGTAACGGAAAAGAGAAACGGGACAGACAAATCTGAAAGGATTACGCGTCTCAGCACCCGGTCCTGGTGTGAACTTTTCGGTATTTGGAGAAGAGCTCTGCGCTTACACGGAAGTGGGACCTGAGAGTATTTCATGAGAAAGGAAAGCTGACAGTCAATCCTCCTTTACCATGGAGCAATCAATGCAGATCAGGGTTCCTTCGGCCAAACGGAAGGAAGCGTGTGTGGGTACAATTGTTGTATTCCAATATTTTGACTTGCCGGTGGGAAGGAACCGGACTAACGCGGGCCAGAATGGGCATTGAGTCAGGACCATAAGGACCTGTGTTAAGTTAAAAAGAAAGAAAGGAAGAAAGAAAGAAAGAAAGACATTATGTTCTTTTGCCCCTCCGACTAAGAGGACAGTGTTCATGCTGTTTCCTGTTCCCTGATCCCTTGTACATAGACCCAAATTATTGCTAGCCGCGGTCGGGGCTGGAAGGGGACCAACATCACAAATCCAAGTGTGGAACTCCAGCAAGTACACAAGTCAAGCCAACAGCTGTACCAAAACTTTTGGACAGTCATGAATGTTGCGGGCGTCCCTGCGTTATTGGGCAACCTGAACGTGAACGAGGGAGAAGTGACCTGAGACTCTGAGAGTAGTAGAAGTGGTCGTAGCTGTAGGAAGAGCAAAGACATTCTGAGAGGGACGAGATAGGGGTGTGTGTGTTTGTGTGTGTGTGTGTGTGTGTGTGTGTGTGTGTGTGNAAACGAGGGGCTGTGACAAACTGTTTCGTCGGAGTTTCACCGACTCATCAGGAGGCTGATATATATATATATATATATATATATCGTCAAATAGAACTGCCCGGTAAACCGTAGGCAGAGAGGGAGAAGAGGACAACAAACGAGGGGCTATATATCATATATATCGTCAAATAGAACTGCCCGGTAAACCGTAGGCAGAGAGGGAGAAGAGGACAACAAACGAGGGGCTGTGACAAACTGTTTCGTCGGAGTTTCACCGACTCATCAGGTATATATATATATTATATTTGATTGATCAATACACAGTCTATTAACAATGTCTCTTCTATAGAACATAAAAAGTTTAGATAGGAGGATAGAGAGTATAGGATAGATTCAAACAAATTGCATTGCAAAAAGATCAAATTTTAATAGCACCATGCGAGAAAATTAACGATACAAACCTACCAAATGAATGGTTGTATTTAATGTACATTTTAAGTTATATAGATTATTTTTTTACATAGATTATTAGATTTTTTTTGTTTGAATTATGAATATCCATTAAAAAGATAAAATTAAAATATTTTATTTTCAATCAATTGAATATTCTCCTATTTTTTCAAGACGCTTTAGAAGATGCTTTAGTAACTAAAGCATCTTTAAAAGAATTAAAAGGTAACCGTCCCAGGGCTATTTGATCATAATTGAGTTCATGTCGATCATATACAGAAAGCTCATACTCTCCAGTCATAGATAAACAATTGGTTGGACAATATAGTGAGTTTCTCCATGTGTATCTGGAAGCCAAGTGTGAAAAGGTATTATTGGCAGTTTTACAGCATAAGAAAATTCAAATCCTAAATAAAGATTTTTTTCCAAAATGAAAGGATATTCGTTTTCTGCTAAATCTTCAAAATGCCAGAAACAAATACTTGAATGATATCTAACCTAAATCATGCATTTTTTGCATTAAAATATATATAGTATTAAATTAATAGATCTTTATATCTATAATAGGCTATTTATAGCTCTTTTTTATGAATTATAAATGAAATTTGAGTCTAAATTCTATATTCATAAATAGTATGAACAACATTATATATGATTATAATGAATTCATACGAATAATTATTTGTTGAATTCATGTTCCTAGAATATTTTGTTTTCTTAAATTTACTGGTAGGCTAAGAGCTAGTGAATAATCAGTTTAAGTAAACTTTGTTCACTATTTTTAAATGTTGTTAATACGATTAGTTACAATGTCACCTCTTAACCTATCTATATTAAGCTCGACACATATCTGAGATATTTTGATTTTTAAATGGTAGTCTATTTCAACTTCAGATAACTTTTTTCTTGCATCTTTTATTTGTTGCCTTAAATTTTCTTGGGATGATTTATAAATATCTCTAAACTGAATTGCATCTTTATCAAAATTAGATCTTTGTTCCACAATTTTCACTGTTAGATTTGGTTCTTTGAAAGTAGAAAGGATCTTAGAGTATTTCTTCCCTCCATTGTGTTTTTTGTAGATTTCTTTGTCCATTTTTGTATTTTGTTCTGGCATAGTATAAGGTGGTTGAAAAAGGGGACACTGGACCTGTTTTCCAGTATGAGTCTAAGTTGGGTATCGGCCCTAGTATTCCGAGTTGAGATGTGGATGGATTCCCAACCTCCTTTTGCTCATATAATTGGAAAAAAAAAAAGGGATAGAGTCTTGGCCAGGTCAACATGATCAAAAGCTTCACAACCCAACACTCACCTCACGAGACTCACTGTAGCCGAACCTAACATCTCTCACGTGAACTTCTGCTCCTCTCTCCTCATATGGGAGAATATTTGTGCCATCTTTCAGCGTGGACTTTGTTCTTGAGGACACAACAAGAAGACAGCAAAGGAATCCACAAAGATGAACAATTACAAAACAATGACAAACGTGAGTTCTTGGCACCTGTTGCAGACCCCCCCCCTCCTCCCCCAAACCACCACCACCACCACCACCACCACCACCACCATGTGTTATTATGTAGTCAGTATAAGTCATTTCAAAAGGCATGCTCAAGACGCTTTTTCATCAGACTGTCTGCTCTATGCCTTTTTGTTGTGATTTATGATCCAGAAATCCAAACAACCATGTGGACTACCTGGAGAGTGGTGTTCCAATGCCCAGCAGAAATATTGGCAATTTCACAAATGTTTAAAATGGGGTGGCCCCAACCCCCTTGGTTGGGTCCTGGGGTAACCCAGCAACCGTTCTGACAGTGTATCCGCGCTTGGCAGGCCATCCCGAGAAACATGGACTTCATGCTGGGACAATTTTCTTGTTGACCGGAGTTGAGTGAGGTGCACCCCCTTTGCCCCCCTCCTCCTCCTCCTGTCTCTTATACACATCTAGATGTGTATAAGAGACAGAGATAGCACTGCGTGTTGTTGTTGTGGAAGGGGCCCATATCCGCGGAAGCTGAGTGAAGTGCTGGATATAAACTCAGGTTTGCAGTTAATTTTCAAGTGTACTCTTATCGGCTGAATGCTGATTTCCCGCGTGAGGCTTCTGTAATGATGTATGCATGTTGGCATGACGTAAAGCGGGTGTGAACTCTAGAACCAGAGCAGTGCTATCAGATCAGACTCATGTTGTGTTCGGCTTGGTGCAACTGGGGGCGAGCAAGGACAGAGCCAGTGCATGCTAAGAAGGACCCAGCTTGATCAAAGAACAAGCCGAAAGTTCGAGGAGGAGGAGCCATCGAGCCCATAGGAAGTCATTGGGCACTACAAAGGCAGAGGACAGCACAGCTAGAGAAGTTCGACGTACATTGCAATAAGGCGCTAGCGTGAGCGTTGAAGGAAGCAGGCAAGCATGATCAGGAGGAGGTAGGCATTGAAGCAGAAGGCATGAGCGTTTCAGCTCTCGCGTGCTGCTTTCAGGCATGACCTAGAGAAAAGGCCAGCACAACCAAAGCAGGGCCCATGCGTGTGGGAGGGATCGCATGTGGGAAGGAGTAGTTACGCATGGAAGAAAAGACCACACGTTGAAGAGGGCAGGCCTGCGCTAATAGAGAAGTTTTGCGCAATCGAGCAGCAGCCAGTGTGCCCGGCAAATTAGAGGAAGGCTAGCGCTTGGAGAAGGAGGCTGGGCCGCTGGAACTAGGAGACCATGTAGAATAAGAACGGCGTGATGCGCCAAGGAGAAGAGCCAGAGTGTCTGCAAGGAGACTGGACAGTGTGAATAGGCGGCAGCACATGTGTGCATTGTCCTCTGAGGGAAAAGGAGCTTCTTTCTGATGTGCCAGGTTAGATTAACGCAGATCAGGTCGGGAGCTGCTGGCTAGGGGGAAGTTTCGTTAAGAATGTGGGGAGGGAAAGGTGTATTAGGAAGGTCGGGAACCTTGGTGGGGTTGGATGTGAAAGTGGGAGGAAAGGAAACTGCGAGCAGGATTTAGAGGGGCGGAAAGAGATGCTATTTAAAAGGCGGGAGGGAGATGTGTCAGATAACTGGGGAGGGTGAAGTGTCACAAGGTATGTTAGGGAGCCTGGATCGCTCAAGTCAGGAGAAAGTACCGTGAACCAAGACGGGAAGGAATAGATCCACCTCGGTGCTCAGGTTGAATCTAAGCATAGCGTTGATGGAAGCCCAATTGCATCCAGATGGAGATCATGCAAGCGCTGTTTCTGGTTGAGAAAAAGCCTCCCAGCCTTCTCAAAAGCCTCCGGCGCCATTCCCTGTTCCTCTATCAGTCCTCTCAGTGGTGCTGGCCATGTCGCAGGATGAGCCAATGACCCACCTTGATGTGTTGCCTGTGGCTGGAGATATACGCGCCCGTGGGTGAGAGAACTGTCCTACTTCATTCTGCCTGACTGTGGCGGGACTTGGCAAGACAGTGTGCCTTGCCTCTCGAAACCGAAACTTGCCGACTTCTTTCGGCACGAAAAGGCATAGGGCACGAATGCGCAGCGCACTGGCCTCAGGTGTTGCAACAAGTCACAGACTGGCGCTTACCGACCGGCGCTGGTGTGGAGCGAATACTAACTGATCCTCTGTTTTGAACGGAGGAAAGTTCTAGCTAGGGGTAGCAGATCCACAAAAAAGAACCAGAAACCTGACTAAATAACTAGCTGCGGTCTGGTTCTGGAAAACATTCACTAGACTGTAGGTTTCCCTATTCACAGAGCAACTCTGGAAGTGAATAGAATTTGGCAGACCTGTTCTAGCTTTGAAAGTGTTAACCCGCAGCCATTTTCTAGACTGAGAGGAGAAGAAGAACTTCGTTTTAGCATGTTTTTTGGGAAGAGTAGCTGGTCGTGTGGGAGGGGCGTTTGCCATCCGTTCCACGTAGAACAAGCAATGCCATTGGAGGTTCTCCTGGCCGTAATGAGCAGAAGCATACATTGCGTTTCAAATTTCAATGTATCTTGGACTTGCTGGTTGAATAGGAACTGCGCAAATGCTGTCCAGAATAGAGTAGAGCCAGGGCCAGAAGGGGCATGACTCGAAACCTGGACCTTCTTGACAGCGGTTCAATGTGAGCATGCCAGAGATGCAAGCTCGTGGATATACGAAGCCTGTCAGACAGCTAGCCCACCCTCCACTTTGAGTTTGGAGTGAAACTTCCTGCCTTTACTACAAATTCGAAGAGCTGAATGATCACTCAAAGTCCAAGCCCGCTCTTTTGCAATGGGATCAATCCTGTAAAGCAGGTTTACCTCTGATACAGATGATCGGTATGACTAACATCACAGCTCGAGCTGTTCTCTGAATTGCTCCGAATCCAAGGTCGGCATTGAGTTTGCTTCCCTCGCCTGTTCATCAAACCAGTTGGAGCCCCGGTGTACCTGTGTACACTCTGATCAGGGTCTGACTAACATCACACGTTGTGATGTTGTCTGAACTGCTCTGAATCTGAATTCGACGTCGATTTTGCTGCCATCTCCTGTTCATCAAACCAGTCGGAGTCCAAGTGTATGTGTGTACACTCTCTTCCCTTCTCATCTACCATACATGGTGCTTGGTGAGAGGGGGAAAAGAGCACTGTCACTCACAGCTCCCAGCTGTCCGATGGCCATCAGAAATGGCCCTCTCCTCTCCATCTACATCTCCTTTCTTTCCAAGCAGTTTTCTGGATATATCATGACGTCATGTGCCCAGAAACATTGAGCTCTGAATCCAGTTCTCTGTTCTCCCTTTCCCCTTTTTCTGTCGTCCCGTTGTCAAGATTTATAGAGGTCCACAAGCAACTCGTCTCTCTTCCTTTGTCACTTTCTTCGTCACTTGGATTGACAGCTCTTGATGAATCTGCCCACGCCACTGGTCAGAATGTTCCCATGTGAGTATACCCTTGCTTCTCGCAGTTCTCGCTTTTCCTATTAGCTTCGTTGAATGCTGCAGAGGGGGTGAGCTTCAAATTTTGATCTCACCCAAACCTAAGCCAGGTATCTTGGCTGAACCTATCCATGACCACCTGGAGACCGAGCAGGACTCATGAAATCCGTGTTTTGCAACCTTGTCTGACGATCATACCATAAGAAAGTTGGCGAAAAGACGTGAAGCAATATGAAGAGCTTGCACCATGAGCATCAACCATGTGAAGTGGCTTCACGAGCATCA